CCCCCCCTCCCCCCCACCCCCCCGAGGATGTGAACCCGAGCCTTCGTAATTAAGGGTGTCCGGGACCGTGAGCTGGAACTCCAGTCATCGTAGCGTTGTCCTAATCTTAGGCAACACAGTACTCTTCGAGCGCTTCCAGAATTTTTGCGTTTTGGCAGATTGGATTTTGCAATTACAGGGGAGCGTTGTAATTACGTTCTGGGATTTGGATTTTGCAGTTACGCGGCGGTTTATTAATGTGAGGTGAACATTACCCTCAGTCAGTGCCAGGTTTTTGCAGCATTTGGTGGCATCATTGACATTGTTGCCATGAAGTCGCTCAAGCGCCGCGGGCAGGCTGGGGCAGCAGAACTAGGACATCTGACCAGAACCTACCTTATGTGCATAGGATTCGTCAGTATATTTTTCAGAAACACAACCCCACCCACAAGCAACAAATGGCAGCTGAGCTCCGCATGAGTTGCGCCGAAGTTGTTTTTCTGTTTCCGTCACCGGTCTGCAAGATTCGTATGCCATATCGTGAGCATGTGTGTTGCTGGTTTGGAAATGCTGGTGGAAACCCAACCCGTTTCGACCATTGAGGCGTGGATCATCTTCAAAGAGGTCTGGACATGCTTGGCGTGAGGGGTGATGCGGCCTACAGGGCTCACGCATGCACGTGCCATTCGCGACTTTGGGTTGAGCAAAGTTGCCTTCGGAAGGTGGCCGCAGCATCCAACTCCTTGAAGTCCTTGCAGGGCTTCCCCTTCTACAACAAACCCATGCGTCCGCCTGCCATGGGTTACACATCTCATGAGAGACAAACTGTAAACGAGTGGCCCGCCTGGTTTTGGAATGAATACGGCTATACTTGCGGCATTTCCACGCTTACATGATGCTGTGGCACACTGCTTCAACGTGGAAGGTCTTGAGCAGGAAGTGCGTAGGTAGAGCCATGGGCAACTCAGGCATTGCTTATGCGAAAACAAAGTCGGACGTGGTTGCCAAGGCCGAAAAGTGTTGGGGGCTGGTTTTCCCTCCTCAGCCCCCCTCACCCTTGATCCCGCACCGCGGGCCTCAGGCTGACGGCACCTACGTCGAGCGCCCCAAGAAGATCGTGAAGCGTGAGGAGACCAGTGAATTGTCGTAAGTTTTACGCCTAGTATGGCAACATGCTCAATGTTCAACAATAAGGCAGTCGATTCGCACCAGTGGTGATGAGCAAGTTGAATTCAGATGGAACTACCCACCGCCCAAACCTGATGGCTCAAGGATATCCGGAAAAAGGCGACTACGACCCATGCGCGCATCGCCAAGCGTTGCCCATTTCGCAATCTAACGGCCCTTTTCAAAACTAGCCCTAAAGGCTGACGAACATCGGCCAAAGCCTTTTGCTACTACAGAATAATTGACACGTAAGCCAGGCAGCTGGCAGGTTCAGGGGCAGACTTTCTCTGCATGCTTTGCTAAGGCCCCCCGAGATCAAGACCGTAGGGGCCCTGGAGCCCTTTCCGATCTGCGATTGTGCAGGGACACAGAAGCCTGGTCCCTTCCCAACTTTCATCCTGCTGGAAGAGTACTTCGTCAAGGGTACTGCTCAAAAAGCACCTTAAGCATCCCAGAACAACCCCAAAAATCACTTCTCCCATTGACCTGCATGTGCCAGCCTTGCGCACTGGGCCAAGGTCTCAACCCCTGCAAATTCCGCTCACTCTGCTGCCAGCCAGAAGAGCATCCAGGATCCTGCCAGCTTGAGCCTGGGGGTCTGGGATCGGCCCTCAAATCCCCTACAATCAGAAGCCCCACGTGGGGCCCCATGCAGTCTGCAGCAAGGCTGAGGGCATGTCCTACTGGAGCTGTGGAGCTGTAAGCTGCTCTTGAACCAGAACATGGTTGACCATAGAGACCTGCATGAGATGCCCAGGCGATGTGCAGGGCCTGATAGAAGGAGAAGATTCTTAAGTACAAGACCTGCTATTGTGCAAGCTGGACTTGCGTTCTCGCTCATTCAATTCCTCAGCATGCTTCTGGCTTCAGTGTCAGATTGCCAAGAGCATTGTGCCCTTTGAGCCTAATGCAAAAGCCTCTGCTGCATTTTCTTGTCACCATTGCACCCATCCAAAGCTGGACTTGGACCGAGTCCTGACACAGGCTAAACCAACACAACACCCAATGGACAACATTGCAGACGATCAGCTTGTTAATCAAGCCACCAATCTCAAACCCTCAGAGCTTGTGGAGCATGGATGTGGGCGGATTGCCAAGTTGTGCTAGGCTGGAGTCTGCTCACATGTTTTCTAGTTCTGCACCGAGTAGCTGTGGCAGGTTACACCAGGTGTTGGTAGATCCGCACTGGCTAACTTATGAAAAGTGGGCAAGCATATGACAGCACAAGCTGCAAGATGGGTCACGGATGAAGCACGACGAGAGGGATCCTTTGACGTGTATAGGCACGGATGAAGCGCAGTAGCTTGGTGAACAGGTCTTGACCTATGGAAGTTTCGCGAAAGTGTTGCCAAAGATCCGTGATGAGTCTTCAAAAGGATGCATATATCATATGTTACAGAACACGATTGTATCATATCCCTAGATCCGACCCTGATCATATGCCGACTGACCGCTTCTGTCACGATTCCCCGAATCCTCAAAGTCCGCAAGGGCTCGCAAAAGGCCCACCAAGCCCCGTGACCGTCATTGTACACGCTCGTTGTGCTGTATCCGCGTCTTCAGATGTTCTGAGCTTCCAAAGATGCAGTAACAAGCCCAGCAAGCTTCCAGGCGCCGGGCTCGCATGTCTGCAGAGTTGGCATTCCAAGCTTAATGTCCTCATCCTCATCCTTCGAATGCCAGGCAAGCGAAGCGGCTGACAAGATGGCAGCCAAGGTGTTCCACTTTTCGGGGTGGCCGGGTGGCCTCTAATCATTGTAATCATTGCTCATTAGTACGTACAGGTACGGACAGTGACGGCCGATAATCGAAGGGGGGTTTGTTCTGTGCCTATCAGAGGGGGGTACTAACCCTCGTACACGTTGTTTGGGGGGTCTGGCCACCCCAAGACCAGTGCCAATTTCACAACAGTTTTTTTTTTGTGTTGGTCGGCAGAGAGATTGCTCTACTCCGTCCCCTTCTCCATTTCCATCTGGAGAAAGTGCACTCTATTCTGTCCCCATTAGAGATCGATACCCGATATCATTCCTCCGGAAACATTCTGGGGTTACTCGGGATTATTGGGAGGGCTTTTGGAGTTTTGCAGGTATCCGTCGTGTTACTATGCATCCGGATTTCTGAAGCGAGTGTCTTTGGTTCTTTTCTCTGGAAATATTCGGGGCTTGACACTTATTGCCGCAAGCGCTGCTGCTGCTATTGCTGCTGCACATGTTGTGTATTACCGTTGCTGCTAATCAGGGCTGGCAGCAGTTGGGATCCCAAGTGTCATGGCACTCCCAAAGACAGTCGTCATACATCGCCGTCATCGTCGCCGTTGTCAATAGCATGCGGGCGCCCCTTAGAGGACCTGCGCTCCGGTTCATCTCGCATGGGTGAGACTAACAATCGCTGGACATCGTAGGCGGCAGGTCTTGGTATTTAAGGCAGTAAGGCGCATCGCGCGTTGCACATTTTCTCATTTCCAGGCACCAAAGCGGGGCAAACAGGCTCAAAACCATCACGGAGAGCCAACGACCATATCTGCTGGAAATGTGTCAGGCTGCGCCAAAGAGAGGGCAAGAGAGGTGCGAAGCCCGTCGAGGGAGACATGCGTGCAGGTTTTTTCTGCAGTGAGCCTAACAAACTTGCTACCTGTAAATTATTGCAACCTGGTCTAGGCATTGCAGGTTGTCGGGGGTTGGCTTTTTTTTTTTTTTGACATGAATCAACATCAAATGTCTTTTTAAGATGTGCAGGGACACCATTCTGAATGATTCCGAGACTCAAGAATACTTAGAGAATTTCGACATACATAATATGCGCTGCTCTCCTTGTTTGTGAACCTTGAACTATTCGGACAAGAAACTGTTGGAGTGAGTCCTTGGTTACTTCTCCGCAGAACCACAATGTACTTCAGCAGAGGCTTGAATGATGTCCTTTGAGGCATCCCAAGCCCGCTGGAAATGATGACGGCAAACGTCAGGCGCATCTCTCCTACAGGGTTAAGGAATCGTAGCTCAGATTTAAGGGCCATTTCAGTTTCAGATGTAGTTTCTTGGATACATGCACCAGCGCAGCTACTGCCAGTATCTCCTGCCAGCATGAAGCTGAATGCAAGCTGCCTCACCAGCTTGCTGACTCGTAGACCGGGTGCAGTAGAACTTAGCATTGCAATGCTCGGAGGTTGTCATCCAAGGCTTTGACAAGAAGGTCGGCCTTGGAAAGAGGGTTGCGGAGGAGTCGCCTGGAAGGAAGAAAGCCAGTAAGCCAAGCGGAAGGGAGATGAAGGGGGTGGAGCGTATCCTGAAAGCGTCATTCAAGCTGCCAGCATGTCTCAACAATATCTAGACAGTCACGACGCAGTCGTGGCACTTGGGAGGCAAGGTTTGAGTTGACAGTCGCTAGTCAGTCGCTGCAGTAGTTCAACAGTAACACACCCAGCATATCCGGAGATCTGTGCATGAAGCCGCGCAGATGTTGCCCAGGTTAGAGCTCGGAATGCTCCGGGTGGCTTGCCCTTCAGGCGGGGGGAGTATGAAAATGCTCGAAGCGGGACTTGGGCAAGTTGCTGCCATGACTCTGCTAATGTCTGCTAGGGCAATGGAATTTGTCACAAGGCTGGCTGTAATTGAAGATATTAAGGAAGTGGTGCATCACATGCTAGCATGTGTGGAGCCAAACTCGGCGCACCGCAGCTGCGCGGCTTGCTGCTCTGATTCCGACGGTTGCTCCCACAGCAAACCACCCTGATGGCAATAGGATGTGATGGGCCTTCCTCCGTGCCTTCTGTCGCTCCCTGCGACATCGCCCCAGCCTTGTTCGCTTTGGCTGCCTCGGGCGGCCTTCGGCAGGCCGGCACCCGGCCCATCCAATTGCGCCAGGCCGCTTGAGGCCATCTCCACACGGCCTGCGCTGAGGGTGTACCATGTTGGGCCACAGATGCAGGCATGCTTGGACGAACATTGGACGGACACATGGTAGCTGGGCGGCTCATTTCCCGCCAAGCCACTTGCTGTTCAACGTTGAAGTTTGGCAACAATCACTTGACCGACTGGCGACGGCATGCATTATGCCCGCCGAGCAGATCACCAGCTCCTGACATAATCATCATGCCGTTTTGAAAAACGATGCAACGATGCAATTGTCAAGAGCGAGCAGCACACGTACGGGGCAGTCATGTGGATATGCGCGCGATGCTGCTGTCATCCATTTCAACAATGCACGGCAGGTATGGCCGATATTCAACAGTCTTGAAGGCATGCGTTGACGCCAAAAAGAATTTGTGATTGCAGCATTAGCTTTGGCAGACAGCAGGGAACGAGTCTTGCACTTTGGACATGCAGTCTTACTCAGTCTTACTTACGTCGTGGGGATGGTGGTGAAAGAATTGGGCTACCATATCTGCCCTTTCAGTGAGCTGGTAACAGAATTGTTTCGCAAGCTCTTCTTGGTCAAAGCCTCATACTTCAAGCGAAAGCCAACTCCATTCCCTGCATTCCCCAATGTTCAGTGCGAAGCCGTTTAGGGGGTCCGGCTGGCTTGAGTAGTAGGCTCCCTAAGTGATTCATTACATGTTTTGCTCCTGGCATAGGTGAGCCTCTCGTCGAGGGAAGCGAAAATTACAAGGCAGGGCGATGTGTCACCAGTCTCTGACGATGAATTCGTTTCGTGTACCAGTTCTCACTGTGCGCAATTTCCACCATCCTCAGAGAGGCCTACAAGTTTCAGTACAAGCGGCTCTGCGCGGCCCTGAGCACAAATGTCTCCACCACAGGCAGTTCAGCAGGGCTCGCTTGAAGGCACGCATTTCCGCCGCAACGCTGCCTTGTCCGAGCGCCTGCGTACTGGCGAAATCCTGCCAGAAGCACTGGCCTCCATGGCTGATGAGGCAGGGTGGCCTCATGAAACGTATTGACTGTATAGAATCATGAGAATGTTTTACGGAGACAGGCCCTGACAGAGTAAAGACGGCAAGATCTTGTGCAAGAGCTTACAGCCCACATGATACGCGTCGGTTCGAACCGCAGCTGCACCGCTGCAATCCTGACATGAGGCGCTAATGGCAGACGACCAGAAGACCGAGAAGCAGCAGTTCAGACAGGACCCTACATTCAACAGCCTTGTTTGAAGGCCTACCCGTACCAGGGCTTACCAGGCTGGCAGAATGCTTGCTGCCTAGAGGGCCATGCACCCTCAGGTAATGGCAAATTCCTTGTGTTTTCCGGAGCATCGCAGTTGATGATGCGCACTGTTTTCGTGAAGAAACTTTTGTTACAGGTCTAGAACCAAAGGAAGGTACTGAAGTGGCCAGACTCGAGCTAGGCCCGTCAGCCAGTCAATCTCAAGTCCGGGTTGAGCTCACCGTGGTGTTGGAGTCGGAAGTCGTCTGAAGGGTCTTGCAGCCTTGGGAACAATCTTGCCAGCACATGGTCAGGAGAGCCTGCAGGAAGCCATGGGCATCACTGCGGAAGATTCCGTTTCGTGTCCTTGAAGCCAAGAAGCCCATATGCCATGGGGCCATGCCCGAGCTGAGAAGCTCTTTATATCTACATATACACTCAAACTTGTCAAGGCTCACTGGACGCCCTCGGAT